ACTAAATATCTTGGCACTGATTGCAGCTTCTTATTGAAATAAGAAAGGCAGAGAAAAAAAGAAATACAAGAAACTGGAAAGAATGAAAGTTATAATAATTAATGGCTTCACTTTTAATACCAGGGACATGGGTAAAAATATATAAACCCCCAAAGTAAAAAATTAAATTGAAGTTTGAGCTACTGTTTGTCAATAGCTTGAACTTGGTTTTCCATTCTGGTTCCAGCCTCGAGTCTGAAAAGGCAGAATTATTTCTGGTCAGCCTGAGGATCAGGGTGTGATTTGTGGGGAGAAATTAAAACTGTGTGAAGACAAATGAAACCTGAATCAAACCAGTTAAATTAACTCTGCATCTTGGAGCAGACTGAGCAGATCTCTTATTTAAAGGGCTCTGATGAGTTTCATTTTGCTGTCAGCATCATTCTGAAACCTCACTGTGGTAATGAGAGTGGCTCTTTTTCAAATTGAGTGTCGGCTCCCTGCAGAGAAGGTATCCTCCAGTTGCCTCAGGTGGTCTATCAGAGGTTATCTGCTCAGTCGTGCTGCCATCTGGGATCCTCTGGCCTGCAGTTTGACCTGAAAAGTGGGGCAATCATATTTAGGACCTGCCTGTGATTCACAGACATGTGAGCCTGGCCCAGGTCAGGTCAGAGAAAGGTCTTAATGAAAGGATGGTCACTCCACCTTTAAGAAGTCCCTGCAGGCAGGATACAGGTTCTAAGCCATTGTGCAAGCATTTGCTGCCCTTTGCCCCTGAACATCACTTGTGCTCCTCCATCTGAACCTCTGGGACTCATTTCACCTACTTCACTCATCTAAGGTTAGTATTAAGCTGAGAGGGTCTTCCCTTTATTTTACAGAGTTATTGTTACTCCCAAGGGAGACTGAGCCCACCAGTCCTGTGCAGCTTGCATAACTGCAATTAATTTCTCCCAAGAAACATCCCCAAGTGTCTGCAGTAGGTGAAATGACGTCCAGCCTTTCAGTCTATTTCTCCCACCAACATCGAAGTAGCAGCAGGTTACAAAGGCCTTGGAAATCTGATTTTACTCCCTTTAGCCAGTGGTTGAGAAGAGAAAAGCCCAAGGGAGGTTCTCTTTTAACCATGAGGATGTGAAATTTCATTTGTGGCTGACAACGCTCTTAATCCTGCCTTTTTATTGATGAAGAAACTCTGAGTACCTCAACTATTTCTCAGTTTCCCCAGACAGCAATTGAGGTTGTTTCAGCTATGCATCAAAATGCCCTGGCAATCAAGGTGCTATTGATTTAAACCTAATGGCCAGACACTCAGGAATTTCACCCAGAAAAGAAAAATCAATGTCACCTTATTTTTGTTTTTTTCCTGTTAAGATATTATAATGAAAAGGCGTAAGAGTCTCACCATCTCCTTCCCGTTAAGCAATACACTTGCAGGACTGAGAAAGAACATTGGGTCAGGCTCTGGTGAGGTAGCCAGCCATCAACAGATGGGAATTACTCTAGGGTTAAACAATTTTCCTTGATTGCATGCTGCTATGAGTATCTGCCTGTCTCCAGTGACCTTCCCTGAGGCATGCAAGCTGCACTGCTATGTGGGACTCTGGAGAGGATGTCTTGAGTAATGCATTAGCCCTATTACTGGAGGAGCTCTGTGTTGGAAGGATGCTCCCCATTTCATCCTTGCTTCATTTTGGCTGTTTTCTTCCCCCTTCCCTTCCCCTATCCCAAGGGTAAAGTGTCACTTGGAATCTGGCAGACTGGTTTACAAAACTGGTTTAAATGCATGACAGGTAAGCACCAGCCAGATTGATGCTTAGAGCCATGGTAAACTGAGCAACACCACAGGCTCTCTGCTGTCTAGTAAGTGAGGGATGCCAGGATCCATTCTGTCACCCATAAGCTGAATGGTCCAACATTGGCTGTGTCCATACTGCTAAACTCTTTTACATGCCAAAACAAGGTGGTTTTCCCCTTTGGGCTTCTCAGGAGCATGCATGGCACTTATTTACTGCAGTGTGGGTATTGTCTGGGAGAGGGCACAAGCTGAAGCCAGGCTGTGGGATGTGATAATATTTTGCTGGTGTGGGTGATGAGGATGCTTGAGTCTGTAAGGCAGCTGTTCTCAGTTCCTTAGGATGTCAGAGACACCAACCACAGAGTACAGAAGCTGTCATGAGCAGTCCTCCTTTAGGTCTTTTGCAGAATCTTGCCTGTCAGCACTCCAAATGTTTTGGAGCCAAATCACCTTTAGAAATTATGCTGTCTTGGGCCTCCTCTTAATCAGCCAAAGGGACTTGGATCCTGCATCACATATTCTGATAAACAATGAGGAGCCGGGCATGGTGTGGGGCAGTGCTGACTGATGATGGCACTGACACCCCAGTGATGTTCTGAACTGCTCCTGGGTTGAGACATGTGACTCAGGCATTTTCTCCTGAGAAGTGTGAGAAGAACTGAAGGATGGTTTTAATTTCCCTTGATTTTGGAGTGTCCCTATGCAAGTTTAAAGAGCTAGGAGTGACCCTTCCTCATAATTGATCCCTTTCAAGATGACTGCCCAAAACTTCGTGAGGAACGTGTACCAATCTACATACCAGCTACCTCTGGTGTCACTGTGCATGTAGAGCCTCATTTGCACCATGCAAATGGTCCAAATGCTCATTTGAGCATTTTCCATGAAGACAATACAACTGTCAGAGGAACACCTGGTGTGAGACCTGTGTTTCCAGAGCCAAGCATTATCTGGGTGATAGGCAAATACAGAGACAACGAGAAGGGAATCCGACAGCACAGACTGAAGGCACATAATAAAACTGTCTTAAAATTGCATTTTTGTGAGTGCTGCTCAAGCCAGACGGTACCCATTTGTTGGAATGATGTGACCTCACGGAGATGAGAGGCCTGACCCAAGCTTTGCTGCAGCTATTGATGCAGTGATCAACTATTGACCTCTTCATCCATTTTTCCATGACTGGCTCCCACCCAGACTCTGGAGCCTCCTAAACAGTAAACTTGGGACAGCTTAGCAGCCCACAGGAGGCCTTGCAGGTTGTCAGCACTCAATGAGGAGTGACAAATCGGAGTGTGTTGTTTTACAAACACCAGTCCAATGTCAACATGTTGATCTCCCCCACCTGTTCTCACCTACTGAACTTCACTTGCTTCCTCCAAAAGCAGCTCCACCTCACACCGTTGTGTCTGTGCTGACACAGGCTGAAGTTACCCTGCCAGGAGCAGGAAAAGGGCATGGTCCTCTGCTGATTTAGCGCAGGCTTGGTTGCATATGGAAATGAGTTTTCCTTGGAAAGACAGGCCTCCTGCTTTTACTCTTACCTTCTGCAAAGGGATTGAGTGTTTTCAGACTAATCCTTTGGTGAAGCTGGATCCAAGCTTCCAAGTTAAACTGCCAATAGGTCTAATTTTGCCAGCAGGTTCCCCATGTTTGGGGCTGAGAATCATGTAGTGTAAATTCCACAGGATCCCACTGTGGTGTTATTTTCACTTGTGTAGCTTTCCTGCCAGTTCATATAGGAGAGGCACTGAACTATTTAACAACACAATCAAATGTGTTTTCTACATGTTAAATCAAGTGCTGTGAGTACAAACATTGCAGCATACTTAATTAAGCTCTCTTGTATATGTTAAACAAGTTTCTTGCTTCATTTGTAGTGTAAGAACAGAAGATCAGCTCTTAGCAATGGTTTAAATATCTCTTGCAAGCCAAAAGGGAGACTGCATATGTTTGAAGTCCGGAGTTATTTAGAGGAAATAAAATTAGGCATTTGCTAGCCATTGCTCTGTTAGAGGATCTCTGATATAAAAGAGAAAAAGCATCAAGTAAAAATAATACATATGTATGTGAGTTTGGATGTGTAATTCTTGTTTTCCTCCAGGCGGCACATTGGGGACAGGTAATCCTACTTAAAGAATTTGGCCTTAGAGGAACTAATAAGAAACTCTTAGAAGCCAGGAGCATTTCTGTGATTTCTATGGTCGTGCCCATAATCAAAACCCTGAGCTTATTGTTGCTATGGTGGGTACACCCATATTTCAAAAAACATTTTCCTTTGACTTCACCTGAGTAAAACGGTGTCCTGGCAAGAACGGGTTTGAACTGAAAAAAAGTACTTTTAGCCTTCTGAACTGTCCTTTTGATTCATCATGTCTTAGTACAACCCACACATCAACCAGGCTGATGGTCTGGTGAGGTGGAGGATAGCTGTTGTTCCTGTGTAAAAGGAGCCAGCCAGCTCCTGGGGCTCAAGTGACTGTGCCTCTGTGTCTTCCAGGTGAATCTGGAAGATTCTGGAATCTGGAAGATGATCATACTGACAAGCCTCATCACAGCCCTTCAGTCTATCACCCTGGGGCAGCCTTGGAGAGCAACACAGAGGATTTGAGACCCTGATCAAAGGAGTTTTAATTCCTCTGGGTTAGATCTGATCTCACTTTCAGGTGGTGGTTTTTCAGTCAGCTTGAAGAGCGCTGCCTGCTTCTTCTCCTTCGGCTGGTTTTCAAAGGGTAGTAAAGCACTTGACAAGGGCGGCTGCAGAGACTGCTGAACACACCAGCTGCCTGCCCTTTGCAATTGTAGATTTCTAAGAACTGAAGACAATTCTTTTGTCTTTGTGTTTTTTTTCACATTTTTCTTAGAGTGTTTAGAGGGAAGGAACATTGTCCCCAGAATGACAGTGGTGTACCAGTGGGAGTATAGCCCTTCTCTTACAGGGCCCACTGTTACCAAGACATCTCAGGAAATCCTCTGCCACCACACATTGTTATCTGCTCCTGTTCACCCCATAGATTTGTGTGCTTCTGTTCACCCCATAGATTTGTGGTGGGGGTTTTTGCCTCTCCAAGTGGGGATGTATTTGGAGAGCTAGGGCAGGGTGTGTGTATACGTGGGGCTGTATTTCCTCATGAGGTGACACTGAAGATAAGCTTGTTTGGGTGCCTTGATACGTTATTCATCGCCTTAATCCTCACCTTGATATCTGTTTCCTCTCTTCATCAGGAAAATGAGAGCCACTGCCCCAGTGTGACCTGTCTCAAAGGTACAACAAAATAAAGACCACCTGTCCCACTCCCTCAGACACCTCCCAGTATGGATGGCTTGGTTGAGCAGAACAATGTGGTAATGCACAATAAGATTGCTGAAGCTGGGAAAAGGAATGGTTTGATTAATACACGGAACTTAGTGGCAGAGAGCCGAGACGGTCTGGTCTCTGTGTACCCGACCCCCCAGTACCAGAGCCACCGAGCAGGCAGCCTTTCCTCTCCAAGCTGCCTGAAGAACGGCAGGAATGACCCTGTGCAGCAGCTTCTGGACCCCAACATGCTGCAACAGACAGTGGAGTCTCACTACCGGCCCAACATCATCCTCTACTCGGAGAACATGCTGCGCTCCTGGGGCGAGAGCATTGGCTCGGAGTGCTGTGAAACTACCTTCATCGAGGACCGCTCTCCCACCAAAGACAGCCTGGAGTACCCGGACAGCAAGTTCATTGACCTCTCAGTGGACGACATGAAGATTCACACCCTCTCCTATGATGTAGAGGAAGAGGAGGATTTCCAGGAGCTGGAGGTCAGATGTCATTTGGGCTATGTGGGGAAAACTGGGGGGAGGAGAGCATATTTAGGGTTATGTGTACAGCCTCCAAGAGCTGAGCTGCAAGGGATCGGCTGCTCTGGAAGCCCATCTGCATAGGAGCAGTTTTGTCACTCTTGCATCTGGGCAGGACAGTAAGCAATTGCTCGTCTTTGTTTGTTGGGTAAAGTCCCAGCTCTGTGGATGACAAAATTCCCACTAGAGATCAGCATTTCCCTCCTGTCTCTGAATGGGCTGGTCAGAAACTGAAGAAGACCCATGTGCTTAAATGGTGCGTAAGGTTGGGGCCAGGAGCATCTGTCTGCATACATGGAGCTTGCCTTACTCAGCCAGCCGACATCATCTCTTGCTTTCTCCTAATCTGAGCTGGGCATCAAGCAGATTGTTTTGCATACCGGCTCATGGACATGAAACAATTCTGTCTCTGAATAAGAACAGAATTAGAAGTCTTGAGGTTTCAAGCTGCAATGAATCCTGTGTCTCTGAAATAAAAGATTTTTTTTCTGATGAAGTGAAACACTTCACTAGATCCCAAATTCAATGTTTTCTTTTGGGCTCCTGTTCTTCATTGATTGCTCATGGTAAAGTGAGATATATTTTGTTCTCTGAATGGGGCATACTATGGAAATCAACTTCATTCTTTGTTAAATGATGCATTTTTTTACTTTAAAAAGTATTTTTGATTTTGTCTGAAACCAGCTGCCCAAGCACAGCACAGATTTATGTTTGCCAGCGTGTGTGAGAATGGAGGGTGTGCATCATGCCGCTGATCCCAAAACTTCCTCCAGCATTGCTCACAGACCCCTAACCTAGCAAAGACTGTGTAGAGCAAAACAATAGCTTCAACTGAAATGTCCAAGTTAAGATTGAGAGAGTATATGCTCTCCTTTCTCTGTTGCAGGGGTTTTCTCTACCGAGACATCACAAGTCCTAAAACTCCTATTTTTACCTCTTGTAACACTAGTGTCTCACCCTGTGATCAGCACAGGGGCAACACAACAAGAGCGTGACTTCTCTTTTATTCTGTTTTCTTTCTGTATTGATAAGGTAAGAAGAGAGAGGTGTTTTTCCCAGTGTGTGCCAGTCACGCAGCATTCAGTGCCTCCGCAGGGAGACGAGAAGTTTCTCTCTGAGGCATGTAAGGGTGTTTGCAAAAATCACACCCTTCTACAGCATTTCAGAATTGGCTGTGGGAAGTCTCATTTTCTTAATCAAAACACAATCCCTGGTTGGTGCCTTTTGCCCTCATTTCTCTCATGCAGTAGTAATGCAAGTGACTGCAGCAGGCATGTAATTGCCTGATGGTGTTATTGACACATCTGACCTGACATTTAGGCAGAAAAAAAAAAAAAACTCACTCTTGTCAATCCAAATCCACCAAGATCTTCCTTAGCCAGCTGCTGGAGAACAGGATAAAAAAAGGATGGGAAAATAGGCAGGACAAGGAAAATATGCTTATACCAAAAATCTTCTCCTTTTTCTTGGTGGGATTTTTAAGGTGCCTTTGCACTGTAGGTCCCTCCATCTGCATGGTCTCTTCAAAGTGGTACTGTAGGAGCTTGATCAGCTTTTCATAGAGAACATTTGTTTTGAGAAAACCACCTTTAAAACGAGGTCTGAGGAAAATGAATTCATCCTTCCCCTCCCCAGATCTCAAGGGGAGAAAGGATAGAATCTTTGCAAATTTTGGTACCGTGCTATGATAGTGTGTGCATCGTTTTCACAGTCTCCTCCTTCTTTCTGACCTATTTCTCTGGATTGTAGTCTCCTGAGATCATACATGCCACTTCTTAAATGAGTGTGTTGCATGGGTGTATCTGTCACCACACATTCCCAGCCTCACTTAACCCTGTGGGATGCTACTGTGCTAGTAGAGAAGTATATGGACAGCCATCCTCACCTACACGTACAAAGTGCTCAGAAAAGGACGACATTCACCAAGTATACACCTGTCTGTCTTCCTCTTTTCTCTATCAGAGTTTCTGTTTCACCAGGAGAATAGAGCAAGGGAGGAAAAAATGATGCAAGGTCTAGGGAAGGACTTGCCTGACTGGAAACACATGCATTGCTAGAATTGCTTGAAACCTTCACTTCCAGCCTAGTATCAGTCTCAGTCCTTGTGCTGTTTGGCCACTTTTCGCACTTCTCCATGAACCAGAGCCAAACGACCAACCTGCTGAGCAGCTGGACTCAGCATGCAGGGTAACGTTCATCCCAGGAAGGTCCAAATTCTGTGGATGCAGCTGGTCTTGCAGTAGGATGAGGAGAAGAGGAGAGATGCGTTTGATAGCACAAGACCAGAAAAAAAAGGTGACTGCTGTGTTGTGCTCTTCTGGTTCCCATGTGCCCAGATGGATGAGGACCTCCTGGGCTTGGCTAGTACAGAGGTTCAGTAGAATCATAGTTTCATGTGTTGAGACTTCAGGAATAGAAGAAAAGTTTTTGAGGACAGCAGTCACTGAGGCAAATGCTTTTTAAAACTACTGATAGACCTGAAGTGGAGTGGAAAAGGTTAGTACCAGGACTCAGAGGAGAAGTGAAAAGGAGAACAATGAGCGAGGATGATACAACAGGAGTGCAAGGTTTTGCTTCCCCACTGTGAGAGCCTTCAAGGATTTGAGTCTGCCATTGAGGATGCACAGCATGTTGCTGAGTGTCTTGCCCCATTGATTGTCATGCCACAGCTCATCAAGGGATAGGAACTGCGTAGCATAAGAGCACATGGGGCTCAGTTCTTGAAAATGTTCTTTTTGTTGTAATATATCTACTTCAGCACTTCTTTCTGGGAGAAAACTCTAAAACCTTATTTTTGCAAACAATAGCAAAGAGGGGGAGCTTTGTGCAGAAGAAGAGCTGCTGTCTCTTGAAAACTGAGGGCTACCACCTGTTCTCCATGTGACAGGGCAAGGCAAGTTCCAACTTGCATCCCAACTCAGGCATCTCAGTAAAATGCCTCCTGGGGACAGAACAGTCCTGAATTTGTGAGTAATTTCTCTTTCCCCACATCTCTCTGGCAGTGCCTGTCTTATTGCAGGGATCCTGCCTAAGAGTTATCAGGGCTGGGTATTTGATTTCTTAGAAATGAAGAGAAATCTAACTCATCCTTTTGCAGTGACCACCTCCATGCAATATTTGCAGAAGTCCATGGACATATTCAGAAAACAGCTTTACTGCTAGTCAGTGTGTTTTTGCAGGGTTTCATTTTTGAAGCTATTTGGGCTCTCAATAACCAGATAGGTTGTTTTTCGCTTGCTGAAAATTTCACTGAAGGGAAAGTTTCTGGAGAAAAAAAAAAAAAAAAAGCTATTTTGATTGACAGCAGTTTGATTTTGGTTTGAAGAGCTGACCCAGCCAGGCTGCAGGGGTTGCTGCCGTCCCCTTCAGGATGGGTCTGTCCTGCTCAGTAATGCCTCTCATAACTCACCTAAAAGGAAGCATCTTCTTCCCTTCCCAAGCCTGGGGACTCTGAAGAACCAATGAGGTGTAGCAGAGGAGCAGGAGACATTCTAAGCAGGGTCTTGCACATCACTGCTACAGTGTGGCCATGTTTAACTTCCTTATTCTTTTTTTTTTTTTTTCTTTTACCAGCAGTGTTTCTCAGCTCCTGGTGAAATGTTATTCAGACTGCCTATGAAAATCATAATTGTCTGGAGGGAAAAACATTTCTGAAATGACTCTCATTTGCATATACAGCCCCATTTTGCTCCAGCAATTACCAGGCATGAAAACAGAAGGTTGCACATTCTGTCAAAGCTTTAAACTTCTCTCTTTGGCACCCATCCCTGAAATCAAATAATTCTCTACTGAGAATGATTGAGATATCTGTTGGTATCTCCAGAATTCTTATAAATATCTTAAAAGTTCTTTAAGCCACAGCCAATGGACAGATAAGTTGTCAAATGTGGCAGCGGTGAAATACTACATTAGTTGTTGGCTGAAATACCCTCCTGTTAGAGTTCATGTGTAAATGCAGTGCCATTTTTTATCCAGAAACATCATTTGTCATATTACACTCCTGGTAGTTTTCCTGCTAACCCCTAGATAGATGGCTTATTTAGAGAAACCCAAGCTATTGATGGCAGCAAATTGAATTATTCATATGTGTCGCATAAAAGAATATGTCTGAGCTCTCTCTTAAAACCCATTTTCTTTTTCCCAGCAATGTCTGAAACAGTCTCAGAAAATGAATGTTCTGGGGAGTGAAGGAAGAAAGGAAATGTAGTGCTTTCCTTCTTTGTTCCTCTACAAACTGCTGAATGCTCCTGTGAATCTTAGATTTGAGTGTGGAAGTGTAGAGACAGAAGGTGGATCCTAAGCTGTGTCTTGTTCTATCTAACCCCTCTTCTCAATATTCCTAAGCATCTCCTGGCCATGTCTCTTCTGTGACATGAAGACAAGGCTGCAGGGAGGCTTATGCACATTGAACCCCATGATATACATGCTTTCTATCAGTGTTTCAGCTTGCACAGGCTTAGACAATCCTGCGTTGTGCTGATAAGACCTGAGCTGCTGTGTCCTCAGCCTCCCTTGGGAGTAATCAAGAAGCGTGTTTTGGACACCCCTTGGAGAGCTGAGCATGGTGGAGTTCCCCTTCCAGAGAGCTCTAAAGCATCAGTGAAGAGGCAGTCTAGTGGAGGTGTGGGAGGCTGTAGCACAGATGACATCCAAGGCAGGTCTTGCATGCTTGAGATACTTGCTTGTATGCTCATTTTCCTTCAGGGTCTTGCACTCTGATTTTACTCATGAATTGACTGTTTATCACAGTGCTCTTGCAGTAGTATTTTCTCCATCCTGCACCTGGGGAACTGAAGAAAATGGTGCAATAGAAGTCTTGCCCAAGCTCACCTAAGGGATGTGTTGCAGAACTGGTAATGGATGCTTAGTGACTTGCTGCCACAAGAGGTTATGGCAGAGCACCAAGTTTTGAACTTTTGAACGGATTAGACAGATTCATGGATGAGGAATCCATAAACAGA